TAACTGCGTGTGCGTGTCCCCGGTCCTTTCCCAGTTCTGCGAGGAGTTCAAGGAGAAGTGTCCTATCTGCGTGCCCTGCGGGCTGAAGCTGGCGGAGAAGACGCAGACGGCCATCGTCCGGCACTTCGGCCTGCAGATCCTGGAGCATGTGGTCAAGTAAGGCAGCTCGTCCTGCCGCCTGCGCCGGGGAAGGGTGCCGGCCCACTGCCACGCAGCCACTGGCGTGGGCTCTGCTCCCATTCCGGCACCTCCCGCTTCAGGGAGGCGCTTTCAGGACGCAGAGAATCTGTACTGCAGCAGAGGACAGTTGCTGTCCTGCTCTGTTTCTTTCCTCCTCTGTAAAAGAAGGAGAGGAGAAAATGGCTTTCAGGCAGGTTGGGAAGGGTAATTCACTGAGCTCTAGGGCACATTGACATCGCAAGATGTAAATAAGCACACAGGGTTATCAGTAGGTCTCTGCAGCGTTCTCTGTCATTAGCCTCATGCTAACAAAGAGGCTTTGTATTAGTTCAGTTCGGAGATTCCTCTCTCTGCTGCCTCCACAGACCTGATGCTTTGTGCTTTTGCTGCTGCTTCTCATGTCTGTTGACCTCAGTGGTGCACGCCCATTTGCCAGCAGCAAGTTTTAACTCAGCCTTTTCATTAAGGGCTTGGGCACTGGCAGAGTCAGTGAGCTGTAGTGTCTCTCTCTAGCTTAGGTAAAGAAGTGATGGTTCATTGAGAATCAAGTCAGAGATCTTTATAAATGCTTTGACTTGGTGTCCTTTTTGTTTCTCTCTTTTTCTTTTTTCTTTTTTTTTTAACTCTTTCAAACAGGTTCCGCTGGAACAATATGCCTCGCCTAGAAAAAGTTTATCTAAAGAACAATGTCATGGGCCTCATATCCAGTGTAAGTACTTTCTACCCCAGACTGTTCTCTGAAACACAATTCTCTCACTTGGAGACAGAAAGGAAAAAAGACTCCAGTTAATTAGCACAGAGGACCTGAATTCAATTCTGCACTTCATTACATTTTGCTGTGCATCCCTGGTTGTTCTAGTGCTCCGTCCTGTAGTCAGGTCAATAACCATGTCACATGGCAGGAAGTTGTGAGGCTTGTATAACATATATAAGGTGCTTTTCTTTTCTCAGGAGGAAATTTAGTAAATATGGATGTTCTAATCCTTTGCAAGAATACTAAAGTCATTATCCTAGTTGTGTTTTCTCTATCGTTGTGATTGCTCTCGTGACCAAGTGACCTTCTTTTGAGGAAAATCCTTTTGGTTCACTAGCTGTGGGTGCTTGGGAGGGTAGGAGTGTCATCCAAGGTAGCTGGGATGAAGAGCTGCCCAATGTTGTGTTTTGTTTTATTGTTTTTGTGTGGTTTAGAATACTTGCAACCACTGTGCTTCCCAGGTCAGAATTATAAATGTCTGATGTTTGCTGTTTCGTATAACTCTGCCCCTCTTCTATCACAGGGAACTCAAAGTATTCTGGAGGAGGAAAGTCACATTAAGGATGTTCTGTCTCGCATTGTGGTGGAGATGATCAAGCGCGAATGGCCTCAGCACTGGCCTGACATGCTAAAGGAGCTGGATACCCTCTCCAAGCAAGGGGTATGAAACACACCTGTCTGTTCTCTTCTACTTGCTCATAGTGCGGGTTTCAGTCTTCCATCATCCTGAGGAAAGCCTAACTCGCTCATGGTCAGGTGAGACAGGCTGACGATGGACTCAAAAATCCCTGTAAGATTAAGTTATTCTAGGAGATGTTTTTAGCAGAGAGGGGGCCATCCTCCTGTCTTGTTTTCCCAAGATGTGACTTGTATCTTCGTGCATGCTTGCTTTCTCTCTACGTCTCTGAGCTAGCCTCTAGAGATTTTAATGCTTGAACTGTGCTGATGGAGTGTATTTCATTTTGGGACATCAGGAAACTCAGACGGAACTGGTGATGTTCATCCTCCTACGTTTGGCAGAGGATGTGGTGACTTTTCAAACTCTGCCTACGCAGCGGCGACGAGATATCCAGCAAACCCTCACCCAGAACATGGAGAAGATCTTCAGCTTCCTACTAACTACCCTGCAGCAGAATGTCAACAAGTACAGACGCATGGTAAGAGTCTCCTTTCCTTGGGTTCAGTCAGTGCTGGAGGCGTTTAGGAATTGGGATACACCTCGCAAGGTGTTAGGGAAGCAAGTGCAGAAACTGTCTGAAATCCATTGCTGTCACTGTGAGGTAGGGATCTGCTGTGACCTGGGAAGCCGGTGCTGATCAGAGAGACGGAACACACAAGGTTGACAGGGTTAGTATTGATAGTTTGGATTTGCTAGTGTAAATGGCTTGAGTGGATGCGTGCCTCATCCGTACTGTTGGAATGCTCCGCTGACACTAGGAGTGTATGGCTTAGCAAAATGAAGGTGTGGTTGTGGCAGAAACAGGTAGATTTGGGATAGTTTATGTAACACACAGCGGTAAAGAGATGCTGTCCTGGGCTCGCATCTGCTCTCTTATGCTGCGGTGGTGTCTTCATGGTGATGCACCAAAAAGCATGAGTTTTTGATGTCTCAGCATTGCATCTGGGCCCCTCTGGTCCTTTTCTCCGAGAGCTCAGGTCAGGAAGCCCTTTTTTGTCAAGTTGTGGTGAGGAATGCTCTTCCTTTTTGTGTAGAGACTTCCTTCCTGAATTCTTACCTAGAGTCAGAGATGTGCAGGTTGGTCAAAATGGATGGTGAAGGCAAGTCTCTACCATAGTCTGTTCCTGTGAGAAGGAAGTGGATTTGAGAGTGAAGCACAACTGAGAAACCAATCTAGAAATAAGTTGCTTAGGTGTATCTCTTGGTTCTTTTTTTCTGTGAATTAAAATCCAGAGTTACACTAAATGTGAAACTGGGAGGCAATGAAAAACCCTCTCCTACCTGACTTCCGTTCATTTCCCTGATGCACTGACAGGCTGAGCAAACCCACCTGTAGAGCAGACAGTTCTCTGTGCAGTTCATGGTGGTGGGTGGGAGACCCTGGTGCATTTTGTAGTCTGGTTGAAATGCATTTCCAGGTAAGGTTTGAATTGCAATGCTTGAGGCTCTGAAGTGTGGCTGCTTCTGCTAACGGTGGAATCTTTCTGATTGGCAAGGTTGGAGCACCCCAGGAACAAGAAGCCCTCACCACTCCACAGGTTAGCAGATCTTTGGGATGTTTGTGCACAGGGTAAATTCTGAGGGTTGGGTGTTCAGTTACCTGTCTGCACACTGAGAGTGGGGTAGATGATGGACAGTTCCCCAAGACCATAATAATCTGCAGTGCTTATAAGTATGCAGTTCTGGTATGGTGGCTCAGTTGTTAAATGTTTGGGACACAGCCAGATTAACTTAAAATCACTGCACTGAATACATTGATGGACAGAGTTCCCAAACCAAAACCTTGGCAGCGGAAAGAAATGCTTGTGGTGTCTTTGCATCTGAAAAACAAATCAAACCTGAGGGACTGTCTGCGGGACTCATTTGCATTTAGTCAAAAAGATGGTGCAAGCAGTACATTGCTGCTGTTAAGTGTTTGGAACTGGGAGTCAGGCTGTAAGCTCTTGCCCCAGCTCTCTCTCCAGCTGCCTTTCTGACCTTGGACAAATCACCCGTTTCAGATATCAATCTCAGTACATAAAAGCCACCAGCATCTTTTAGAGTCTGGCTTTTGGATGTAAGATGCTCTAAAAGGTCAAAAGTTTCTTCCCTGGAAGGTTCCAGGAAGCACTGAAATGCCTTTCCTTCTTGTCCCCTGTGTCTCCCTGGTGTCTGCTGACTGGAGTGTCATCTTTTCGATGAGAAGGAAATTGTGGCTTAACTTGCAATTCAAAGTCCTATTGTCTTACCTGCCAGGGGGCTGCAGAGGTGGTTATGATGGCTGCAGCAATGTCCTGGGCAGGAGACTGTGTTGCAGCCTCTTTCACTAGGGAGCTGTTCTGTGAAGCTGCTTCTGGCTGCGTTCTCGAGAATAAGCCTGTCCAGCAGTGGCTAGGTGGAAGTGTGTGCCGTAGGTGCTCACTTACTGTCTCCTATTTTCTTTTTCAGAAGACTGATCTGGCTCAGGAGCCAAAGGTGAGTGGAGCTATGTGGGAGTTAGCGCATTAGTCATTCTTAAGACCAAAAATGCTTAGAACTAGGCTTTTCCCAGGCTTTGGAGTCTATTACCCACAGTTCTCATTTACGGATGGATTTATTCACCCATAACAGAAACTTGAGAAGAGAGAAGTGAGGGGTGGCAGCAGAAGGGTCCAAGTCTCTCACTCTCTCAGGGTGGTTCCTGGTACTGTTCTTCCAGGGAGTGGATGGCTTTAGATGGGAACTGGTGATTCTCTCTGGCTCTGACCTCTTGCCTCCTCTCTGTTCACAGGCCCAGGCAAACTGCCGCGTGGGGATAGCAGCACTCAACACCTTGGCTGGCTACATTGACTGGGTGGCCCTGAGCCACATCACAGCAGACAACTGCAAGCTCTTGGAGATGTTGTGTCTGCTCCTAAATGAGCCTGAGCTCCAAATAGGAGCAGCAGAGTGTCTCCTGATTGCTGTCAGACGGGAAGGGAGTTGTTCTTCCACAGCTCCTCTGGCTTCCCTTTGTTTTCCTCCTATTCTTCTGTATAATTCTTCAGCTTAAGCAATGATATCTTTGCCCTTTTATTTAAGAAACAAAATTCAAATTTGGCTGCTTATGTTGATATTTAGTGTGAATGTTATGCCAGCACAATACACACAGCAATTGTTGGAACCCTCTCCAACTTCTGTGCTCGCCTCTCCTTGCAGTTTTGAAGTTGGAGATCCCCACTGACTTTTTTTTTCCCCCTCACTTTCTACAACTGTGAAGTGGGAAATATTGTCACCAGCTGTGTCATCTGGCAGCTCAGAGAAATGACAGCAGGATCTAAACAGGTGATTTGACCCATACGTTCACAAGCAGCTTAGTGTCAAGGCTGAGTGTTTATCAGCTGCCTTTAACTAACTAGCCAGTCTGCTGTGAAGAAGAGTTAATGTCTCAGGATCAGTTTTTCGGTTTAAAGTTCCTGTGGTGAGATTGCTTGGGGAAATTTCTTGAGATCAGGAATACCTTAGGGTTTTTGGCAAGTTTTTACTGAAATCATTTGTGGACTGTAGGCCCCTCCCCAGATGGAAGGACAGCTGGGGATCTCCTAATTTCACTTGCAAATGGGAATAAATAGTTACGTTCTAACTGAGGCATTTGGCGTGTTTTACACGTAGGGTAAGCTGGAGGATCGGAAGCCTCTGATGGTCTTGTTTGGAGACGTTGCCATGCACTACATTCTCTCTGCTGCCCAGTGAGTACCATCCTGCTGCTGTAATTTCACACAAAACTGCATACGAATGGCTTTGTAGATGTGATTTGCAAAAGATACTGCTGCTTAACTGCAGGAAGCTGGGACTGGGTTAGGAGAGAACAAAACCACCATTTCTTTTGCAAAACCCGAAAAACTGCACGTTTCTTCAAATCCCATAATTGAAGGACAAAGCAGTGTAAATATCATAGCTTCCCCAGCTTTCTCTTTTAGCCTGAAACTGATCAGGAGGGACTCTTTCAGATGGGCAATTTCAGAGGTTTTAGATGCCAATAAAGCTGTGCTTCTTGATAATAGCAAAGAAAATCCCACTGCAATAAAATCAAATTGTTCTAGTCCTCTTTTTATCTACAAGATAGATAGCAGTGTGCCTGTTACCTACAGCTTGAGTAACTGTGATCCTGTTTTTCCCCCTCCACTTGTTCCCAGGACAGCAGATGGAGAAGGCCTGGTGGAGAAGCACTATGTTTTCTTGAAGAGACTTTGCCAAGTTTTGTGCGCATTGGGCAGCCAGCTATGTGCGTTGCTAGTAAGTCTCTACTAATACCAGCAGCAACCCTGGCAAGGCTAGTTTTTAGGGCTGGGGATGAGGCAACTCTGAGCTAAGGGAGGACCAGGGTTCTCTCTGCACATTTGGTAGCCGTAGGTTTCTCTCCATGCATTTGGTAGAGGCAGAAATGGCTCTGCTTGCGAGTGGGATAACTGTATCCTGCCAAGTCGTAGGAATGTAGAATGGAGGGACCCTGACTGTTTCCAGGCCTCTGCTGTCATCAATAACCATCTCCTATAACCTCTGTAAAATGCTGAAGCTTTATTGAAAATTAGTCAAGTTTCTTGCCGTCTTCTGCTACAGAAAAACTACTCCAGGAAATTACTCCTATGTTGGAAGCCTTTTAATTTTCCCTATTAAAAATAACTCAGAGAGTATACCTGTTTGTTCTTCTACCAAGATTCTCTCGAGCTGAAGGAAGAAACAGGTTTGGTTCCTGCTGTTCATCTTTCCGATGCTTTGTGTCAATGTTGAGATGAAGATGCACACTGATACTTTGCATGCCATGCTGGCTGCTGAATTCCTGCTCCCTCCGTTCAGCACAGTGCTTCTACAGTAAGGAGGGCAGGCTTGTTGAGAGATGCTGTTCGTGGGGAGACTGAGGCAGCCAGCCTGTGCAAGTGATAGAGCAGAGTAAATTCTCACAGGGAGGGAAAGAAGAAAAAAAACCTTTGAGAATTTATCCCTAAAAAGAATGGACAGCAAACAAAGGGTGCATTACTACTTTCAGTGACTTCACTGGCTGTTAGGCAGTGGGAGCTGTTAGTCCGTAATGAAGTAATGAGATGGGGATTTGAGTCCTGTCATCCAGATTCACTTGAGAGAGGCAGCACTGAGCTGTACAGCTCCAGAACAGGAATCTTAAGGGCACCAGGGCATATTATGGTTAGTGAGAAGCAGCAAAACCTTGAATTTATGGCTCTGGGTAAAACTTATTTCCTGACAGACTTCCCAGAAAGTTATTGATAAGAGATGTCCATACGTTAAATGCAGGAAACATTTGGAGGAATGGGAGTGAAATCATCTGGGTGTATTTACTTGTGAAATTCTGCAGTCTGCAGTTGAGAATTGCTCCATCTTGGTACTGCTGGGTGGGCTTGACCCAAGAGGAGTAAAATTGTGATTCATGGCAGCAGCACCAGTTGTGAATTTCATTTTAACAGAACTCCAGTATCTTGAGAAGTCATCCTTTTCTCTTGAATGAGGGTGGTGACCCCAGGCTGGTCAGCAGAACTTGCTACTCTTCAGGCTGTACTGCTTTCAGAAAAAAATCACAGTTGGTCAGTGTTTTTCTCTCTGCTCCTTTACAGTCTGTGGCCTTGGATGTAGTGCTCCTACTTTACCCAGAGACATACCATTTGTGAGCCCAGCGTGGCATATAGTTAGTATTTTGTCTGAAATTGTTTGTCTTCCTCACAGGGCTCAGATTCTGACGTGGAAACACCAACCAACTTTGGAAAATACCTTGACTCGTTTTTAGCCTTCACAACCCATCCCAGCCAGGTGTGTAAAGGACTGAAAGTCTCGTGTATGTCTATGTAAGAATGTGTGAATGCATAATTGAACTAACCTGCATATTAGAACTTCAGCTGCCAAATATTGCTTTCCAGGCTCTCCATTTCAGCTGGAGACCTGGAAGGCAGAGTGGTTTCTCCTCCATTACCACTCCATTAGGAACAGTGCCTGACACAGAGGTGCTGAGTAGAAAGTGCAGAATTTGCAGTCAGCCCTGTTATTTACTTAGAGATTTTTGGCATTCTGGAAGTTTGGGTTGAGCCTGCAAAGTACCTTGGACTGAACCGAATAGTCAGTGTAATTTGCCATTGCCATCTGATAGCAACACTTAATGTTAGCAGTGGAGATTCCAGCACTGAAATCCTTCTCTGTTCCCCTCTTTTCCCACTTCTCCCCCCAGTTCCTGCGCTCTTCCACCCAGATCACATGGGGAGCCCTCTTTCGGCATGAAGTTCTGTCTCGTGACCCCTTGTTGCTGGCTATGATTCCGAAGTATCTCCGTGCATCTATGACCAACCTAGTGAAGGTATGTGGGAACTGTGGCCAGATAGGTGTGAGGAGGTGCCTAGGTGAACATGGCCTGTGGATCATGAGGGAGAAACTGAATTTTTATTGTGTCTGCCACAGACATGATCTCCAGGTCGCTGAGCAAACAGCTCTATCTCAACATTTTACTGTCTGCTCCTTGCCTTCAGTCTTCATCTCCTTAAAGCTGGTGTTAGCTGTGATGGGTGACTTCTCTTCCTTCCTGACCTTGTCCACTCTGTCTCCAGGTGGGCTTTCCCTCTAAAACAGACAGCGCCAGCTGTGAATACTCCCGCTTTGATTTTGACAGTGATGAGGACTTCAATGCCTTCTTCAATTGTAAGTTGCCATCACCCTGTGTGGAATCTGTTGTCTGTGTTTTTCCTCTTACTTTCAGTTGCTGGCTGAGCTTGGAGCCTACCATGTTGGCTTGGCAGCTTCCATTCGTGTCTTGACTCTTTCAGCATGGATCTTGGAGTAAAATTAATTTAGGATTTTCCTGTGGCAGCTCAGGCATTTCATTTTACTTACTCTTTGATATTATTTTTCTTGCTGGCCAGGTATGTGGCCTAGTAGCCTTTGCTACCTAGTGTCAAAGAAAACGTGCCTCTCGGTCACCTAGAGGAGGAAATGACACAGCCTGGAGTCCTGCTCAGGTTAGGAGAGGAAGGCAGCTTACCAAAGACTTAAATGTCATTCCAGAAAGAAAATCTGTCTTGGCCCTGCTGAGAAGCTTCTGGTTCAGTACCAATAGCTAGAGTTGAGCAATTAAAATAGCCAAACCTAATCATGATCTTAAATCAGCAAATGGGGAACCCTGGGTATTAGGAATTTTATTTTTTTCCTTTCTTTTTGTATTTTACTTCCCAAAATGGAGGTTGGTTCTCACTGGCTGGTATAGTTCGGTACTCACTTGGTGGCTGGGAGCATATACTTAATAAATTACTTAAATTCCTGCTTTTTACATTTATGTTTGAAGATTTTAACTGTTGAATTTTTTTGCTGCTTATTAGATAGATTTATTACACTAAGTAAAAAATAAACTATTTGGGTGGAAATCAAAAAGTAGCTAAATGCATAAAGCCAGAATTTGAAATAGTTTTAGGGAGTTAAATGATACTGAAGGTATTACATATATAAGAAAACAAAACTGATTTGAAACACAAAATAAAATTACTTGATAAAACAACTTTTTTAAACAATGCAAGTTGCATCTGTAGTCAGCAGAGCTGATTCTGTTGTGTGGTCATGTACTGGAATATTTTGGAAGAAAGGAAATTCTGTTCTGTATTTTGCTTTTCATATCTTTGAAATTGAAAGCAAGACTTCTTTGGGTTTTTTGAGTTCGCATTAGCTTGTCAGCCTAGAATCTGAACTGGGTTAAGTTGAATAATCTAGAAAAAATGTGTTTAGCTGAAGGAAGTGATAGTTATCTAATGCTGTTTTTCTACCTCGGTATCTCAAGGTGCTTTGTAAGCAGTAAACATGTATAGTTTGAAGATTTTTTTTTTTAATGAAAAATAGAGGGTTAATTGTAAATCTGGATTTAGCATAGATTTTCGTAATTTGTATTGCTTTTTAATTGCCCTTCTTTTTATGTTAATCCATAATTTTTTAGTCCATTTAAATCGCTTCAAAAACTTGCCCATCCTGTTACACCTCGTTTACTGACTGTATATCTGAGCTTACTACACAGCTATTGCCAGAGCAACAGTCCGTAATGTTCCCAGGTCTGCAAAGCTGCAGGTGAGCTTTGGGGAAGGGAGCATTTGTGGCACCAGCTTGTTGCATGGTGTCTGATTTTTCACTGCAGCCTTCCGAGCCCAGCAAGGAGAGGTGATGAGGATGGCTTGTCGTCTGGACCCTCGAACCGGCTTCCAAATGGCCGGTGAATGGCTGAAGTACCAGCTCACAGCTCCTGTTGATACTGGACCCATGAACTGTAAGTTACCTGAAAAAAAATAGGGATGTGGGATTTGTTTTTTAATTCAAACCAAGCAGAAACTGCTTTGCCTTTTTTTTTTTTTTAATTTTTCTTTTTTTTTAAGGGGGAGCCAAGACTCAACACTAGGCTTTCAGGCTTTTAAGGTCTTTGCCAAGTTAAAAGCAAAATCAGATCAAACCCACCCCACCCCAAATTTAATCCTTTTCAGTCTACCTATGGAATAGCTAATGTAAAGCCCCCTAGCTCCTCCTTTCCCTCCCCCAAATCTCTCTGCAAAACAGATGCAGCTGTCCCTCTGATACAATTTTACAATTATTTGGGACTTGTTATCTCTGTAACATATTACTTTGTCCAGGGAAGTTCTGCCTGTCTGGCAAATCCCTTTGTCGGTCACCTTGCTTTCCTCCTGTGAAGGAAGGCCACTTGGTGCTCTGCAAAGTCACACTGAGGGCAGTCTTGCCTGCAGGGCTGAGTCTGGACATGTGGTCTCCCTCCTTTCCTTTTCCCTTCTGTGATGTTGTTGGTGTTGCTCCCTATAGTATCTCAAAGGTCAGGCTTATGTCTCAGGGGCCTTCACTTGAATGAGGCAAATCACACGGGACTACCTTAATTGCTCCTGGTGCATCCCTGCCAGGCATCTGCAGAGAGAGCTGTGTGACCAAAATACTTGAGTGCTAAGATGTTGCAGCACAGGAGCTTATCAGCCTGGTGGTGTGCATACGGAGAGGAGCATGGTAAGAGCTCCAGTGTTCTCTTCCTTTCAGCTAAGACAGGCGAAGGTCTCTGCTCCATCTTCTCTCCATCCTTTGTGCAGTGGGATGCCATGACCTTCTTCTCAGAGAGCGTCATCAGCCAGATGTTTCGAACCCTGGATAAAGACGTATGTGTACCAAATGCTCTTGCCTGCTGTTCTGGGTTGACACGAGTGGGTTTTTTCAGCTATGTTGTCCTTGAAAAGTTTGTAGTAACTGGTTACCTCCATGCAAAAACCCAGATTGTTTGGTGAGTGATTCTCATGAGGAGTAGCGACCCTTCCTTAGATGGGACCAAACTCATACTGGCTTACTCTCAGGCATGTCTTGGTTCTGGACGCTATTCCATGAGAAGTCACAGGAGAGCGCTCGGGTGGCATACTTTGACATAGTGCCTTGCTAGTGGAGAAGAGGACTGCTTAAGCGGAAATTTCCTAAGTTTATTCTTAAATAAGTTTAATCATCCCCTGATTAGATTTTTTTTTTTATGTTAACTTTTAACTAAATGAGAGAAACTCGGGGCGTAGAAGGTCAGAAGCGATTTCCCTCTGCTTTTTGTTCAATAGCAGGCAAATCAGAAGGAAAGCATTTTTTTCTCAGTCTGATGTAGACTGACTTGATTTTTTTTTTTTATTAGATTAGGCTGCTCATGCATTTTAGTTCATCATTCTAATCACAGGAAAATAATTATATGTGTTGATATAGTTGGTTGGATATATGGAATCTATTGGACAGAGTCAAAAAGAGAATTGGGAGCCAAACTGAGAGAGAGGAAAATTGCCTTTCCCAGAGGTGCAAGCAATAGAATGGGGACTTGAGATTGACATCTCAAGACTGCCCTACCAACAATGGCAACGCTGCTGTTCTTTTTCCCTCAGCAAGTGCACATAGCACGCAGTTAAACTGAGGTTTTTACTGCTTTTCTTTCTGCTTTGAAAACAGCTGTGTTCAGCTGAGAGGCCTGATAAGATAGCAGCAGCTCTGTGGCCTAGTTTTAGGAGTTGTAGGATGTATGCTACAGGCTGAAGTACTAAGTGTTGCCTCCTTTTTTTTTTTTCCCTTCTGCTTTCCCTTTCCTGCCTCTGTAGGAAATCCCAGTGAATGACGGCATAGATCTGCTGCAGCTTGTCCTTAATTTTGAAACAAAGGATCCTCTCATCCTGTCCTGTGTGCTCACCAATGTCTCTGCTCTCTTCCCATTTGTCACTTACCGACCAGAATACCTACCGCAAGTACTTTCCAAGGTAGGTACTTGCAGATGGTGCTAAAATCAAGTAGGCTTTTTGTGGTGCAGGGCCCTTGTACTAAACTGCAGGAGTTAATCATCTTGGCGTTACTGTCAGGGAAGGACTATCCTTCATGTTAAAGATGGGAAGAACTGAGATTGAGTCTTGTTCAAGAAGAAACAATGTCAAATAACACAAATTTTGCAGTTCCTAGCCTTAAATCTTAACGTTAAGTGCATGCTCTGGCCAGTAAATGCCATGTTTTATTTCAAGGCCTCACTGTGCTGATGATTCATCTATCAACTTAGTTAAGGGTTCTTCACTGACTTTAATGAAATTGCACCAAAGTCTTATGATCTATTCCTTGAGCTCAAAACACACGAGTGCTAGATATTAACAAATGACATGAGGTTTTGGATTTTTCCTCCCTTTTCTCACAGCTGTTCACTTCGGTTACCTTTGAAGTTATAGAAGAAAGTAAGGTATGTCTGAATTATTGTCTGTTAATAAGCTATAACAGTTGGATCAAATCATACTCTGTTTGAGCACATGCTGAGTCTGAAGACTCCACTGTAGGAGGCTTCTCAAGTATAGTCCTGCTCCTGGAAAGGGCTGGGAAGTCTAGATATAACTGATCTGTTCTTAGTTGACATAGCATAATAAGCTTTGGCTCACAAACTTAGAAGGCCGCAGATGTGGTCTAAGGCCAGTGCACTTAGTCCCAAAGTCTATATGTTGGCCTTTGTGAGAGTGAAATCCCTTCATTAGCCGTGGGTGCTCTTCAGCGGTTGGTATACGTGGCTGTGAAGGAGGCTGTAAAGCTGCCAGCTACCTAGGGGATTCTTGGAGTCTTGAAATAGTGAGTAAGATCCATGGCATCCTCTCCCCTTGAGCACAGCTTGTTCGAACATGGGCTTCTTGGGTTGGCTACCGCTCCAGAGGAAGTTTGGTTGTCGCGTGATTGTTTGGGGTGGGGGGTGTGGAAATGCTTTTTTGATCTGTACTCAACAGTGCAGAAAACTGTATGTAATGCGTTTGTCTTTTGAAAATACCCTGCATTTGTCTGAACTTTTGTTTTGTTGCATTGAAGTTTGTTATGTCTGTCCAGGCTCCTAGAACTCGAGCAGTGAAGAATGTGAGAAGGCATGCGTGCTCCTCAATCATAAAGATGTGTCGGGATTACCCTCAGCTTGTCCTGGTATGTAAATTCAACTGTATCATGAAGAGTCTTGTCTCAATTTCAGCTGGATTTTGTGGAATCTTCAGCTTCCTTGGCTACAGCCTGTGTTTTTC